GATCATATGTGAGAAATTAAGTCCAGACTATAGGCCTACATTAAAAATGACACAAAAGAAGATATGGAATGCTGACCTTGTGGGCCACCTATTAGTAAACTCCACGGAAGAAACAAGCTCCATCCTGCTCAACCAACATGGAGTGAAAAGGGATTGGTATGGAATTATTTCCAGTGATGTTTCCATAGCTTATGGAATACATTAAGACTGGATATAATTTATTTTAGCACTAGTTCAATTTAGAAAGTATTTGAGAAGAAATGTTAAAATTAGAGTTATTTTATGATGATTGATTAAGTCTGTCCTACAGTTAACGTATCTAAAACATCTTAAAGGGTCACCAGAACCATTACAGCGTAAAGTAGTGGTTCCCGTGTCTGTAGCCTGATTTTGGAGGCTAAGCACTGTAAATGCAGCCTTTTCATGTAAATGCCAGTGTTTACATTGCTGCCTAGTAATACCTCTAGGTGCGGTTACATACACTGCCACTAGAGGTGCTTCATAATCCAAACAGTATGCAGCACCGGTGCTGATCGTTTCACATAGAGATTCATTGATCAAATGCATCTCTATAAAGAGATGCTGATTGGCGCAGCACAGCGTATTCCTGCACATGCACAATAGCCTCCAAATGTTTTCCTATGGGAAAGCATTGGATCGGCTGAGATCATCAAGATTGATGACTTCAGCCATGGAGGTTGAGTAAGCCACGTGGGAAAAAAGTCAGTAGAAAACACCTTTCACATATGAAGCGGTGCTGGGGACCTAAATAGTAAGTTACACACCATAGCGTCAAAAATACATGTTGTTTTCCTGACACTATGGTGTTCCTTTAATTTGAGTAGAAGCATGTTGCTACATGACCTCAAAAATATGTACCCTGGATTTAGTTGACCTTGTGGTCCTTATAAATCTGCTTTGGTACATTAGTACTAGACTATCAAAATGCCTTGTAACTGCAAAGCTGTCAAGTAAGAGATGCTTGACAACTAAGATCTTAATAAGCCAAGATTACTATTTCATTTTCCATTTTCCATCTTTTATTTAAGTGATACATATTCAGATGGAATAGAATTATATCTAAAGAGTTATCTCTATTAAAGGGATGATTACAATAGATGTCTTACTGAATTTGGTTAATTCAAATCAACTCTTAAATTAATCATGTTTTTTTTTTCAATTTGTTCACTTTTTTGAAAACATATATTAAAATGAAGTGTTATTATCCTGTCAAATTTATGAGAACTATATATATTTTGCACTGACAATGCTATATCCTAGAACAACTCAAAAAATATTAAAAACGGATATTTGCATTTAGCTCCAGCAACTGATAGGTTAAGCTGTTAATTTCAATGCAGCAAACCTAAACCATTTGTAGTAGAATGGAGAGCTCAGAATAATGAATTTCCAACATTTCAAAGTGGAGGAAAATTACTACAATTAAGAATGTTAGAATGTTTACTAGCGTGACGAAGACAATGACATGTTGAGAGAACAAGGACTGTACTGTCAGATGACATGAGATACATGCAATTAGATAAGCAGTAGGATGAAGCTGTCTTTTAAGTTTTAATTAGCTAGCACTTACATTGCTACTTAATATGTTTATGCAAAAAGCAAAATACCTTGTATAAAGTCATTCAATGCTAAGTGCAACATCTAATGTTCAACATTATCTTTTGACTACAAATACCTTTTGGCCTGAGCATTTTTTTCATCTAGTTGTACGTATTAAACCATTGTAATAACCCTTTTGGAAGGATTCCGCTATTTTTTTCCAAGCATGTTTTCTGTCACTTCCAGTGACAATATCCCTGCATTGCATAAACAAGATCTCAAACTGCTCTTACTCATATAC